CCCCCTGAGGCCTTAAAAAAAAAAAATTACCTGCCCCCGCTGCCGTCTTCCCTCTGCACCCGCACCGACGGAGCGACAAACATAAATGCACTTTTGCACGCTTCTCTCCTTCTTCTCTTTTGACCTCTTTTTTTTCTGTATGTGTGTGTGTGTGCCTCCTCCTGCACGCCCACGCGTGGGGTTCTGAACGGACGCACGCGCGCAGTTGTTCGTTAGAAATATTTTTTTTTTCTCCCCCGAGACACAACTCCACGCGGCGCGCAGCGGAGGGTCACGGCGATCCCCCCACCCACACACGGAGCACGGGAGAGCAGCGGAGAATAGAAATAACAAATAATTGAAAAGGAAGGCGAAGAAGAGGAGCGAAGGGAAAGGAAGAGAGGGGCCTTTCTCCTTTGCGGCAACACCCCACAAGGAGTAACACAAGGAGGAAGGGGGGAAGGTGCGTGTAGCGAACGTGGCACGCAAGCCAAACCCCTCCCCCCTCCCCTTAACAAAAACCAAAAACAAAGAAAACAAAAAAAACAACAACAAAAACAAAGGTCCGGATTAGAGTCTCATATCGTATTACCCTGTTTTTTTTTTTTCCTCTTTTCTTACGTAAGTGCCCCTCTCCCTCCCCCGAGTCGAGAGGGCCAAGAGCGAAGGAACTAGCAAATAGCCAAAAAAGGGGATACTTATTTTTCACATTGACTTTTCTAGTTTTTTTTTTCCTTTTCTTTTGTTTATTGTTCTTCTACGCTAACCCCTTATTTTTATTTTATTTTATTTATTTTTTTTTGCTTGTGTGTTATTTGTTCGCTGCTGGTGCTGTTGAGCCAACGATGACGACAGGAGCGGACCCGCGCAACCTCATCGTCAATTACATCCCCACGCCCGTTTCGGATGAGTCGCTGCGTCGGCTCTTCGAACGGTTTGGCCCACTGGTGTCCGCCCGCGTCATTCGTGACCGGAAGAAGGGCGAGCACCCAAAGGGGTACGGGTTTGTGGTGTACGCCGACCCCGAGTCGGGACTCGCAGCCATGGAGGCGATGAATGGGTTTGAAATTCACAACAAACGCCTGCGCGTGTCTCCCGCGTTTGGGCCGGGGAACGCGCAGAGCAAAAGTACGACTAGCCCCGGGGTCGCGGCGCAGGAGAGGAGGCTGGGCGGGTACATGGCGCCTTTGCCGTCAGCCGAGGCACGTGCCCCGTTGCAGCATGCAGTGGGCCCTGTGGACTTGGGCCCTCGCCGTAGGGAACCCGCCGTCGTGCCTTTTCAAGGGATGCCGCCGCTTTCGTTTTCCCAAACCTTCTGCGCGCCTCCGCTGGTGCTGTCGTCACAGAAGTTAACTATCATGAATGCTGTTCCTGTGCAGTTTTATGCGGCGCCAAACTTTGTTTTTGCTCCGGCGGCAGATGGAACGCGATTGGTGGCAACGGCACTGCACCCGCAGGGCTCAACCGCGCCGAACTACTCCCCTCCGCCCCCAACTCCGCCGTCGCTGATTGCCGTCCCCAACACCGCGGGGAGCAGTAACGTAACCTACGCACGTCTGAACGGCACGACCCTCACTAACAGTAATAACGTGCGTCTTGGCCACAACGGCGACAGTGGCATTCGGAGGGTTCCGTCACAGGCGGCAACAACGATCCGGTTTCCAAGTGAATCCTCCTACCCGGCCCTGCTGCAGCCGCTCTCCTTCCCACCCTCGGTTTCGCTGCTCCCAGCGTCGGATCCAACGATGCCCGGCAGCGGCTCAACGTACTTCTCGTCGCTGGGGTCGCTCGAAGTGGCAAGCGTCACCGCCAGCAGCAAGCCATGAGAGCTAGCAACCGGGCTCATTGCGCCCCCTCCCCACTCACCACTCTCCACTCCCCACTCCACCTGTAATGTCCCTTTCGTGCAAACTAAGCTCTCCCGTGAAATGCCTAGCTGGTGAGGTAGCCGGGGGCAAATTTTGTGCGGAGTCACCTGAGGCAATTCACTGAACAGCCACTGTGGCTGAGAGAAAAGCAGCAGCAACAGCAACCACGGCATAGTAAAAAAAAGAACAAAAAAAAACAGAAGAGATTCATGTGAAGGAGAGGGAAGGGGATGGGGGAAGGAAGGAAAGAAACGGAGTGGGGTGGGGAGCCGCACACGCACACACGCGCGCATATGCGTGCCTAAAAAAAAAAGAAACGGTGAAGTTAGAGGGCCCGCCAGCTCCCTCCAATCCAGAAACAACAACAACAAAATGCAGAAAAAAAAATGCAAGAAAAGCGAAGGCAAAAAGGGGAAGGAGGAAGAGGAAGCGGTGAACAGCGCGGAAAACATGTATAATCAACAAAAATACGAGCAAATTAAAACACAAAACGCGACGAAAAAAAACAACAATAATAAATAACAACAAAACAAAACACGCATATACTTGCACACATGAGTTCCTCCAACTTCGACATCAATCGAAAACAACCAGCAACTGAATGATTTACGAATTAAACATGTGCGGAGGAGCTAAATTTTTTTTTTGTGAGGTGCAGTTGGTGTGTGATGGACGCCTTCACTTCTGGCGAGTTTTTTTTTGCTTCTCTTCTTCCTCTTCGGCTTCTTTCCTCCTCCTATCCGCTGCTGTGTATTTTCTAGTTGTTGTTGCTTTTTTGCTTCCCCCCGTTCGTTATTGTCTGCTCTCTTCTTTCGCTGTGTGCCTTACATATTTATACACCTGTGTGTGTGTGTGTGTGCGGCGGTCGCAGCTTTTTTGTTGCTGTTCAACACCTGCATTGTTATTGTCGGCATTTCTTTTCTTCTGCCAGCACGCATCTTTGTCTATGTATGCGAGAGAGAGAGAGAGAGAGAGCGAGGGATGCTGTCTGCGTGTACCAGGGCTTCCAGGTATACGCATCGAGTGGATGCTCCGGCGCCTGCGTTCTTTCTCTCTCTCTTTCTTTCCGGTTTCCCTTGCAGGCGTGTACGTGCGTGTGCGTGTGTATCTTGTTACGGTTATTTGTGTGATTTGACCACTGTTTTTCTCTCTCTTTTTTTTTTCTTTTCCTCGTGATTGGCCTCGATTCGCAATTTGCGTATATTTGTATACGACCAATAGTGAAAAATTATATACCTCACTGTGTTTGTTTCTTTGTAAATATATATGTATGTGTGTGTGTGTGTGTGTGCCTCTATCTATTTTTCTGCGCGTGTGTATATGTCTACTTTTCATGTGAAGTGCGTTGTTGGCGTACTCCCTCCCCTCCCCTCGCTCGTTTTCATCTCTCGTGTTTCTCTGCCTTTCTTCTTATTTTGTTCCACTTTTCCTGCCTATTGCGTCCGTACGAATGGCTTCGGTGGTGATGCTGCCCTTCCCCCCCCCCTCCCTCCCCCCCTTCCCTCTTCCCCGTTTTTTTTTTGGTTTTTGTTTTTTGTTTTTTTTGCCTTTTTTTGGGTTTCTTCTGCCGTGTTGGTTTCCACTTCTTTGTTTTTGCGTTCGCAACGCGCTCCGCCGGGAGGGGAGGAGGGGGAAGAAAGTAAAGTAAAAAAACAAAAACGAAGGAAAAAGAGAGGGAGAGAATGGGGGAAGGAAATGAATAAAGGCAAAAAAAAAAGCGAAGAAAAGCGCGACTGCATCGCACCGCGCTCAGCGGGGGTGGCGGGCAGGACGAGTGCTCAAATCATTGGTTAACCACAGGGCGAAGACAAATAAAGAGACAAAAAGACAACAGCAACAGCACAAATAATGACACGCACGCAAAAGGGTGTGGATTCTCCTGCTTTGAGGTGTTGGTGGGGAGGAGGAAAAAAAAAAAAGAGGGTGAGTGTGCGT